CTACCTGAGCATTGTTTCTGACCATGTCCATCCCTTTATGACCACCATGTACCCATCCTCTGATGGCTACTTCCAGCAGGATAATGACTAAATACCTCAATGTTTTTTTTTCTTTTTATGGGTCCCTGAGATTAATGAGGAAATATCCTCTGAAGTTTCAAATTTTCTACTACAATTCATTGAAATTGTAATTTGCATTGTGATTTTATGAAAGGTATCATTTAATTGACCATCAGTTTTTTTCTTTTGATTTTTGATGTGTAGTTTTAAATTGAAGTGTTATGCATTTCAGAAGCACACTGCCACGTTGGGTAAAACTGATCTCACCACACCCCCTAGTGGATATTCTTAAAAGGATTTACAATTGCTGAAGTACCAGGTGTTTTTATCCGAAGCAACTGACAAGAGAGGGAAGGGTTACAACTCATGCATGCCAAGTGGGATCTGAACCCATGACCTTTGTATCATTAGCACAATACTTTACTTGTTGAGTTACAGGCTGGGGCACAGATGAAAATACTGTGTCCCCAACCCAGACCAATCCAATTATGTCACTCACACTCAAAGGCTCTCGGAATAGTCCTAACTTTCTGTCCTTTACGGCGTCTCTGGCTACAGGAGCAGCTGAAATAACACAATACAACAGGACTCACCAGACTGATTATATTGCCTAAATCTGTATTTTCTAAAGGCCGTAGAACTCCAAACTCTAGCCTGTAATAACATGATTTTTGACCACAGGCTTACACAGCTCCGCTAAGAATTTGTGAGGATTATGTTCAAATTAAACAGGATAAGGACAATGGTGTAAAGAACATCCACTTCATTAGGCTTCTAAGGGATTAAAAAAATTGAAAGAAATGTATGATCATAACTGGAAATGGGTAAGCAGGTGTGGAAACAAGATGGATAGATGGAAAACTGGAGGAGCAGAGTGGTGCTCTCCAGATACCTCTGAGTACTCAGGCTGAGGGTTACAGGCAGCCAGGCACATGGCTACAGGAAACTACAGGAATCTTCTAAGATACAGAGAAGTACTATGCATCTACAATCATTGACCCAATTGTGCACTGATTTTCAACAAACATTATTACACTACACAATTGATGCAGCAGTATGTGAAAGAAAATAACCATGAATTCTCAAACATTTTTTACTGATTATTTCTTCAATGAACACTGAAAAATATTCAACCATTTTAAACATTTTTGTTTCAAAAATGAGCATTAAAAAGCATTAAATATGTCTAATAAACTTACTAGTATATGAAAAGATATTTGTGTGTTTGTGTATATATAATGCAAATAAAGAAATAAAGCAACATTGAACAAATCCTGAGCAAAAGCCAAACATGCTAAAGCCTGTAGCTCTCATTCCACTGGGCAAAAACCCCTGAACCTCTGGTTTGTTTCTGCCCAATGTTCCCAATAGTGTTATTTGTTTGTGTAGCAAATCTTCCTGTAAGATTCGCAACTGTGAACCAGTTGTCTGTCACATTTATGGCAGATTAATGTACAGGATCCACCAGTGTTTTCAGTACTGTTTCTGCCACGGCAGTGGATGGTTGAGTGCCTTCACAGCCTGAAGGGAGTCCATTAATTATGTAGCCAGCTACAAACATTACACAGAAGGAATAATTCCATCCCATATATGCCCAGTTTAATGGGCAAATACTGATAAAGGCCACGGTGTCCTCTAAAAGGAATGAACTGTTCATCAATTGTCACATATGCTCAGACCAAGTAGTTCTTTTTGCAGCTTTCAATAAAAGCATTCCAAAACCGAAGTGACTGAAGTGCTACAAATCTTATCACTGGCTTTTCTGGCCTGACGTGTGTTGCGATTGTCTCAACACAAAAATGCCAGTATTTGTTTGAATGTATTTATTCCAAAAGGCAGCTGAATACTGATCTACCACCAGGACCACAGGACCAAAGAGACCTCACAGACTCGTTTCTGCAACAATACACTCCAAGCAGAAACAATGACACCCAATACTACTTTCATCTAATCCTCATCATTCAGTGTCCATGCATTCGGATCTCTTCCTTTGGCATATTTGTTCATATTATCAATAACTGTACTTTTCAAGGGCCCATTTATAAGGCACGGCAATGCATCCAATTCACTTTGCATAAGTCTGGCACCTCTTCTCAGGTCCTCTTTTGTATGCATTATGTTGAAAGACCTGACCGTGTTGGGGGTAGGGGCTCAGCAGATGACCCCACAAGTCCACTCTTGCCTCTGTAAGCAGGTTCTTCTCCTTGTGCAGAAGCTTCTTGTTATTGTACCGCTATTTGTGCAGCCTGCACAGGTCCTTGCACTATCTATGCTGATTTCGATGCCTATGCTTCTGCTGCGTCACTTTCTGCCTCCTCTTCATTCTGTGCGGCCTTCTTCAGCACTGAAGAACTCGACCTTCGTCATCCACGTTTTTACTTTTTCTGAGGCTTTCTACCTTGACATTTTGTCGAAATAATAATTTTCACTAAAATCACAAATACCTAATAGAGAAAAAACTATAAGATTTGTATATAAAAAAACGTAGCAAATAAAAGCACCGTAACCAAAATGATGAATACAGTATATCGCTTACAGTACTACAAAAAATTATTCCTTCCCGACGTATTAAAATAGACTAAATTAATCTCAAATTATTTTCTTCTGGTAAATTGTCGCAATCAAACCAAAAGAGGCTTACCCAATTGGAAAGGTTAGAAATCCAATCTCGTGAGGCCAGCGAATATTTTTTGTTTGGTCGTCAGCGACCTATGTTGATTTTTCAGGGAATTAGTACGGGAAATTGGCACTAAATGAAAACGAACTCTACTGCTTCTTTGTTGGTGCATACAAATGGCGTCTTCGAATAAGATAAACACAGTCAATGCAAAAATACGTGGCTAAAACCGTCCGACAAACTGCATGTCTTAAAGCATTTTCAGCTTTAGCAAGTTTCTTTCCCAAACATTCCGATACGTGCTTTCGTCACCATAGCTACAGACAGCACGCTTGACGCGCGTCTGCCGGAAGTGTGTACGTGCGTCTTGCACGTACGGATCGCGTCATTTCCCATGCAAAGGCAGAGTGACAATGACGACCCTAAGGCAGGGTGTAAAGAAGATGGCGCCGCTTGTTAGCATACTACGATTTAGTGTGTGTAAGGTCTGTCGTTGTAATTTGTAGAAATTGTAATATTGTTTCCAAATCACTTACTTTTAACACGTAATTCTCCCTGTTAATAAAACGTAACTAAATTGCTAAATTATCTAATTTATAGTCATTTTAATTGTATTTTATATGAGGGGTTTACCATGAAAATTTGCCTGTAGGTCATTTTTATGAATGCTTGACACACCCGTATTTAGAGAAAACGAATAGGATGGGTTGTGCCTTATAGACCAATTCACAAGGCAAGCAAAAAAAGCCTTTTGTAATTTCTGTAAATCGACATGAAAATTTCAGTAAAATTATTGGAACTGCTTTTATGAAGAACATTTTAAAATAAATTTAAAAAATACTCCAAGAAACTAGTTCTGAGTGCAAAAAATAAATATAAAATTTATTAAGACACCCACAATATTTCAAATATATTCGAACAGCTCATAATCCAGATGGATGTGTAACCTCATAACAAAACCGACAAGAAAATAAATAAGAAAAAAATTCACTCATCTTTATCATTAAAACAGAAATAATGTAGAATAATCATTTAAAAATAAAATCACATTGCCTCATTTTCTCCGACAATCTCCACAATTTATTATTATTAAAAATGGAACTGTAGTCATGGTCAGTATTAAAGCCACAAGGCCAACCTTAAAATCTTAACACCAGAAATTGACATAATTATAATATACTAATGCATTGAAATTCATTACCCTTAATTTCGACTGTTCTAATATCTACAGTTGAATAGTACATATAGATCATATTACAAAGGAGCTACATTTAAACAATCAAACCCAGCATCACCCAACCCACCCACCAGTTTAAAGTAACACAAACTCCAAAGATCAATAACACCCGAGAAACGTTTCACTTACTCAGTCTGCGTTTGAAACAATGAACTAATCTGTGGACTACATTATGTCACATGTATTTGAAATAATTTGATTTTGTATTGTATTTTTAAAAACAGTTTGAATAATAATAATAGTAATAATAACGATAATAAATGATAATACAGTTGCAGTATTATCAATCATCCCATATATAGATATTTTCCATGTTATTGTACACATTGCAAATCCATCATTATTCAACTTAAAGACGTCTGAAGCAAACGTCAGCTGCTGTGGCAGTCAGTTGCCAGCCAGGACACTTAGACAGTGACTGTTTCCCTGAATTCTGTGGCTTCACAATGAGGTTTGACTGAGATTGAGCTAGAGGGGGATCGCAACGTCACCATGCGCAACATTTCAGGCACAGACTGGTTGGTGTGGTCAGAGCCGGCGCTGGACTACCAGGCTGAAGATGTGTCCCGGCGGCTGCCATGACAGGTATGTACAGAAGACGTCTCGCTCAGTGAGAGCGCCCTGGCCAGAGCTGTCCCCGTTACATTTTAGTCAAGGACAAGGAAATGGGGATTCCCCTGTACCCAAGCATGCATTTCAATCTTAAATCAATCCGCCATCCAATCTACCAGCAAAATCACAAGAACTATTCTTAAAATTTTAGGAAACTGCCAAATCTAGCGTATGTCAAATACTCATATTCTCCACTATCATATTAGGGCCCATTTCTCTGGCCGGGGACCACAAATACTAACAGACCAGGCAGCAGAGTGTCCACAGAGCAGCGTCCCTATAAACCCTCACTCCCAGTGCCCTTTGTATGTGGCTTGGTGACAATCCGCCCTCTGTACAGAGCTGTTCTCTTAAGACCTTCCAGTAAGCATCTCATGGTAGCACACTGCCAACTTCATTCACAAACAGAGTATAGCATATTATCTCTAAATGACCATAATAATAATAAAAACGTTAACATGATTTTTTACACAACTCTTTATTTTTGTTTCTTCATTTTTTTATTCCTTTATTATCTCAGAACATAAAACAGTACTGTGGATTGTACCACATACGCTATGTATTCACATAATACACGATACAGCTACAGAGAAAGAGACTGAAAAACACTTTTTTTACATACTGCATACTTGACATAAAAAAAAATAGAACTGAGGACAATCTTAAACTCATAAAAGGAATGTAGCTGCCAGTTCTTAAAAATGAGTATTTCTTTTGCCTTGTGTTCGTGTGTTTATTTTTGCCTATTAGAGACGGAGTTAGCGTTTCTCTGTTCCCAGGCTCTTGAAAACGGGCCAAATCAGACAAATTGCTTCGGGTTAGGCAGTGACCAGTGCTGAAGAGGGGCATTTTGTGTTTGTGTGTGTGTGTGTGTGAGTGAGAGAGAGAGAGAGAGGGAGTGAGAGAGAGAGAGAGAGAGAGAAAGAGAGAAAGGGAATGGGAGGGAGTGAGAAACGCATGAAAGATTGCACTTTGCAGTGTTCTGACCATCTCACACGTTAACAGATGTTCTCACAGGGGATGGACTTTCAGCACCAGATATGTGTGGTGTGCAGAGGAAGTTAAGTTAACAGTCTTTTCACTTCCATATCATGAGTCAAACTACCTGTATAAAAGTACTTCCAACACATTCCCTGACCATGTATCATGTGTTTTGAGGGTGAGGGAAGATTAAACAATGACACTGCAAGTGCTTTTCTTGTTTTTTTTTTTTCCATGTTTTTGCCTCACTGCTATCAAATCACTGAGCGATTCTAATCATGTTATCCGTTGCAAACATTATTCACAAAAATGTAAAAATAGGTGTTTTACTAATCAGCACCATGTGAAGTTTTCATTCCCCGTACGGTGGCTTTCCTCCAAGAAACACCCTGTCACAACTTCAAAAGGCCCAGATACCCACGCTGTCCAGTAGTTGTCCTAACCCCTTACCCACGATTCCACAGTGAATTCAGCGACTGCATCACTGCAGCCGCCCATCGGTGGGGCACCCGTTAGGAGCAAACTACTGCCGATTTTCCATCCCGAACAATTAAGTCTGTATACAAATTTACATCTTAAAAAAGTCAATAAATAAACCAGCACCTGTTATTACTATTTCCAAGAACGAGATGGAATAAAAAATGACAAATCTGAAGCTCCTTTAGTAAGAAAAAAAATGGCCTTTAACTTTGCGTGAGTTACATCTCTCTTGAGAAAAGAAGAGTTGAACAGGAAAACCGAGGCAAGCTGGAACAAATGTACGTGGTCTCGTCGCTATCCCATAAGCTATAGCTGTCGGGGACTCTCTGTTACGGCAAGAGACCATCGTTAGCAAGTAGACCTGACGACTGGGTGTAACGTTTTTCACATCACGGAAACATCTTCCTCTATTGCTGACAATATAAACAGCCACATGTGTAAAAAGTGACCACCGAACCTGTCGCCAGTTTGAATGACAGGAGGCTGTCTGCTCTCCTCTCCTTCATGCGACATTGTGGTCATTAGCCATGTGGCATCTGCGTACTCTTCAACCCATGATCTTTTTTCTTCCGGAAGGGGGCTGCTTTCTGTTCGAGAGGTACTGACGTACTACAGTACTTCGTACAGCAGGGTTCCTGCCACACATAACAGACACGTCACATTCTAATCAGCTGCTCCCTTCGGCTGTTATGGACTCAACAAACTGACAACTGGGGAACCCCATGTTCACTCACGATTAGGTTGTTATCCCTCTAAAGTTAAATAATCTTACCTATACTTAAGTATTTACATTTGCTTATTTCTCCTCATAAAATTCAATTAAAACAAAAAACTAGTTTTCAAGTTGTCAATAATCTGTTCTTTTGCTTTTCTTTAAAATCAAGATTAAAAGTGCTTTTATAAACTCTCTTCTTCTGTATTTACAATTTGTATCAGGTAAAACTAAACAGTAAAACCGAAAAAGAGCAACAATCACAATAACAATAATAATAAGCATCATTAGCATGTAATAAATAAGAAGGAGGATGTGGATTGTGACGCACCGTGTGGGCAACAGCCACACAAGAGCCATGAAGGATGCCTTGGGAGGCCTCCACGGCAGCCGTGTGCTGGTAGCATGTCGTGACTGTGACCAGTGTCTTTACAACATGAGGTATAGAGAGATTGACCTCTTAAAAAGCACCAGGATCCATTCACTTTGAGCACCAAGGAGTTTCTGGCCTTCCATAGGAAAGGCATGGCCTGCAGCGAGGCCGCACCATGGAAAAGTCGACTCCTCGTCTGCACCGCCCGGCCCCTCCAGCCTCGGCCCCACCAACCACCCCTTTTTCAGCAGCCTAAAGCTGTATATTGTTTGGCTGGGCCAGCAGAAGGCGCACCGATGGAGATCTCAAGAGTAGCCCCGCCCAAACGCACATCACTGGCCCATGCCCCTATGTGTCGTTTCAGATCTTCTTTCCAAAGATGGCGACATCGTAGTAGTACGCCTTGACCGGACATGCGAAGCAGGCATACGCCTTTCACAAGAGCTTGCACCCGCAGAAGCCCACCACCGACACAGAGCCAGAGAAACCCGCACATTCCAAACGCACTGGAGATACGGATGCTTTTCACCCTACAGTTTCTTCCCCACCAATAATGCTGCGTTTCCATGGCCCCAGCCTGCAGTTGAAAAGGCATCCTTACATTCCTGGGGTCCTTGAGAAGGCTGATAGCTGGCTTTGTGATTGCCTGTTCTTGACTGCGAACTTGCTTTGTGGGAAAAGGAGAAACAATATAATGACCTTTAGGGTCTTGTGGGTGGCTGGTGGGTCCCAGAAGCGCAGCATTACCAGGAGGAGCTGTGTACATGTAAACCTCCACATGGGACACGCAGTACTAAACACGCGTACGTCATGCTACGTCCGCCACAGTAGGTGAAAAAGGCCAAGGCTGTTTCAGTGTGTTAAACAAGCACCATTGTTTGTAAGTGTGCTGAAGGCATTACAGTACCCGTGAGGACCGACCCAGCACCGCAGCGCAAGCCGCTCTGGCCAGCTAAGGCACACGGGCCGGTCGGCGGGTGTGTCTACATGGGGGGGGGGGGGGGGTCAGGGCACACATAGAACCATGTCAGCACCATTGCACAGGGGGCACCTCTGTCCTCCAGGAGGACTTAGTGAGAATGGGGGGGTCAGGCTGAGCTTCCAAGCGTGCAAACAAGACACATCCCCTAGAGGATGATGGGAAGGATGTCAACTCGAGCCCGGCCTGCCTACTCGGGGCTAACGGCACATGCTGGAGTAAGATAGGAGACGTTCGGGGCAAACCAAGACGTCCGATTTGTTGGCATAGACCAGGAAGAAGCACCAGCTGTGAGAGACGCAGGAGAGAGCTGTTTCTGCCTCCATCCTATCCCAGGAGGGTATGTCCTTGCGGCATTCCCGCTCAAAGGACAACGTAGAAGGGATTCCCCGTGTGTTTTCCAGTCTTTGAAGAGCATTTCTGACAAACTGGGGCGGCGAACTTCCAAACAGGTTCTTCTGGGTTGCAGACATCATGCAGCTCCATGATGGTTCCTCCAATGGTTTTGTTGCATGTCCGACATCATTCTCTGTCACCGTTAAAGCTTAAAGATGTTGGCGCCGCCGTCCGCGGCTTTGTCTTCGTGCGAGAATTCCAACCGAAAACCAAAAATGGCATGGGGGGAAACAAAAATAAAGATCTGCATCTTGCTTGTTTCCAGATTAATGAGGAAGAAAATGAGCAACGAGGGATCCCAGCATTCCCACAGAATATTGAATGGATAAACAGTAAAGAAAACAATAATATTAATATTAAACAAATCATTATCCTCATAATATAATAATAATACCAGTAATAACAACATTGACAGTAACAATAACAATCATAATAATATTGATAATATTAGCCATAATAATAATTAGGATCATTATTGTATTAAGGAGCAGAAACTTGTCACCCATCTCTCACGCCGGAGAGAGGAAAGAGCACCGCAGGCAGGAGGTCCGTCAGGCAGAGTCCTGATCTGCTGCCAAATTTGAGGTAAAAACCAAAAATTAAGGGAAAGTATTTCAAGGATGAAGGAGTGATCCCCTGGTGTAGAGAGTGGGGACCACAAGCTAGGGCTGGGGGACCGACTCTCCCTTTGCCTGCCCCCCCCCCTCACGCCCAGTGGCTGTAGGGCCCGGTGAGCTGCGTGAAGGCGTATGGTGACACTGTCACAACGGAGGCGGTTTGCTGCGTTGACGCCTGGCGTATGCTCACCCCTTCTCGTCTGTCCTTGCCCTGCGTCGGCCCGGGGCTGACCCCAGCCCCTGCCGCGCCCCACTTGCGCTTCTTGCCATAGGCCTTGATGTCGTTCTGTGAGAGGCCAAGCAATGCTGCCTCCTGTTGTCGCTGCAGCGCCCTCTCCGCAAGCAGCTTCATCTTGGCCTCCCATAGTGCTAGGCCGTGGCAGGGCTGGTTCAGGTTCTTGTGCTGGTAGAAGACGAGCGAGATGCGGGTTGGGTGGCTGCGATCGGGTTTCTTCAGGGGCGTGGTGGCGTGCAGCTCCCGCCGGGCACATTCAATCAGGATGGAGCCGTGGGCTGGTGCCACGGCCACACCACCGATGTTCGGGTCCAGGAAGTTGTGCTCACTGTCTGACCACACCTCTTCCTCCTCCTGCTCACGCTCACTCTGGCTCTTGGCCACGCACTCAGGTCCGGCGGGCTCGCAGAAAGCTTGTGTGTCCGCTTGCTGGAAGGCATCAGGGAAGAGCCGGCCTTCGGGTGCCAGCGATGGCGTGCTCCCAGCAGCCGAGCCCCCACATGACTTCCAGGCCTTCTCCTGAAGCCCCAGAGGGGTGGAGCTCCGGCTTTCGCCCACCTTACTCCAAAGCTTCTCAGGGAAGGCTCCTGTGGTGCCGCTCTGCTTTGGGCCCAAGCCATACCCTGCCAACCCTGCGCTCCAGGACCTGACCTGCTGACCGTCCCAGTGGTGGGATGAGGGTGATGGAGTTGCCCTGATTGAGGGTGACAAGGAGGGGGCCGGCGAGGCCAGGGGGGTGGCAGCGCTGGGATAGGGGGCCCATTGCTGTTGGTGCTGCTGGGGCTGCTGATGGTGGGTGGCTGGGTGCTGATGGACCTGCTGTTTCTCAGGGGGGGCAAAGGTTTCCAGAGATGCCCCTGGGGTCAGGCTGCCATTGGGTTTGTGCCCTGGCCAGGCCTCGGGCTGCGGGCTGGAAGTGAAGTTGACACTGCAGCTTCGGGATGACCCCTTTGCCGCGCAGTCTGGGTACAAGGGTATGTCAGCAGGCTCCTGCTTGATGATGGGTGTCGATCTGTTGCGGACTTCTGATGGTGCCGACAGGGGTCTGGCTGGCAGGGGCAAGGACTTGGCAAACTCTGCCGGGTAGCCACACCGGGCCGCGTCGCTTGGCTGCTCCTCCGGGTGGTCAGGGTAGGAGTGGCCCAGGCTGGCCTGGAGGCTCTGCACATCCGGCTTCTTGTCAAATGAGGCAGCTACCGCGGCTGCCTTAGGCCAAGCTCCATTGCGACCCTCGTAGGCAAGCAGCTGGTGGGGGAAGAGAGCGTTGGAGGTGTAGCCGTAGTAACCATAGTGCAGCGCGGGGTTGGAGTGAAAGCCATTGACGGCACCAGGGGAAGGGGGAGGAGGACGAGGCCCATTGGAAGCGTGGCCACTTGCATAGTAACCAGGATGGGGGTAGACATTGTTTATGCTGTATGCTTTAGCTGGCTGGCGGTTTCCTAGGGAAGGGTAGCCCTCTAAGACTCCATTGAACTGGCCCATTGCTTCTGTCTTAATGGTGGGTTTCACCTCCTGTTTGGGGATTGCTACAACAAGACATGATGAGAGAGAACCTGTTAGCAGCGATGCAGCACAGCACCTTTCCTCCCACAGATACGGACTCATGTCACATAGCCGCTGCGACACGACACTCACCTTTGTTTGCTTGCTGTGGTCTGGCAGGCCCAGAGTGGTGCATCTCCATCTTGATGGTCTTCTCTGGTGTCTCCCCCAGCTGCTTCTGCCCTTTCTTCTTCTCAGAGGCAGCCTTCTTGGCCTCCAGCCGTCGCTGCCGACAGGACTTGGCAGGCTCGGGAAGCTTGCGCACCTCACGCCGGAAGTTGTTGAGCACCTGGATGGCACCATTCTGCATCTTTTTCCGCTGATTTTCCTCGCTGCCGAACTCGTCGGTGGGGGACACTTTGTAGAGAGGGAGCACATGCAGCTGCTCGTCGTCTGGGATCTGACCAACCATTCGGTTGTCCTCCTTGGTGAGCGTGCAGACCTGGTAGGGAGGAACACTATGCTTAGGGTGGGTTGGGTGAGTAGGGCATGGACAAATGGGTAGATGGGATGGAGGGCGGGCCTACCACAGTGCAGCCGTTGTACAGGTTGTGCTGGTCCTTGTGTGCATGGGCACAGAAGTCCATGCAGGCCGTGACCCCAGAGAATGGACGCCCCTCCTTGAGGCCAAGCCGGCAGTCTGGAGCGGTTTTCTCCAGCGCACACTGAGAGGGGCAGGAAGCAGGTTTGCTCGTTGTTAGCACAGCGTCCTCCCAAGACCGCACATCACACACAGATAACTGACTGACACATGGACGCCTCATCCCAAAATGCCTCCAATGTCTTCACATATCTGGTTCTGTCAATGTTCTGCTGCTACAGCCCCCAGGGCTCCCACGTATGGGGCCCGCAACATCTAATGAGAGCCGAATGTCATGCTCTGCCACCCTGTGCATCTTCTGTCTGGTTTCCACGTCAACGACCAATGCAGTCACCTGCCCACAGAGGGCATGTTTACATACCCCAAGGGGCTGTGCAATAAAAGAGCGTGTTTACACACCCACGGGCACAGCACAGTGAAAAGGTATGTTTATGTAACGTCCTTGGAAACCAAGAGACTGACCATAAGTTTGGAGGGACAAAACCTGACTTTACAGCTGACTGCGGCCACAAGCCGCCCAACATCAGTAATTCACCCTACTCATTCAGAAGAGAAATAATTCATATGCTTTCAGACACATATATTCCAGTAATAATGCACAAATATATTCTAACAATACACACTTCATTATTTATAAATGATTTGAAGTCTTATCATTTGGGATTACAATAATTATACTGCAAATTATAAACGTTTTTATATAAAACAGGGATTAACTTCAAAATTACTTTTACAGTTATTGTAATTATTAAACAGGCATCATATGAGGAGTGGATGATGGCCACAGAATTACTGAGGCCCTCAAAACAATGTAGTGGCTTCTGGTTAGGTTTTATTACAAAGCAGTGCAGCGGACATTTCTGTGAGGATGAAGAGCCACTGGACAACAGACTGGTCCAGGGTGCCATGGTGGAGAGTCCCGGTGACCTTACTTGGTTGCTGTATGCTTTTGGGGCCATCTGCTTGTACAGGGGAGCCACCTTGGTAGCTAGTTCCTGGAAGTTGTCCCTGAGATTTTCCTCCTTCAAACCATCACAAAAAATGTTTGTTATAAACTCAAAGTACTAACAAGGCTACACGTAATGGAAGCAGCACCCAAAAAAGAACAGGCACCCAGAAGGATGGCCACATGAAATAGAACAGGCACCCGAAAAAACAGCTATTTAAAATGCAAGGCCCCCTTCTGCTAAAAAAATATAACTAAACAGGAAGAAAGAAACAGTGTCGGATATGGACATCAATGGTGGAAAAATATTTTTTTTTAATGAATTTACATTACAGAAGCTGAGAATGGTTCTATGAACAGTTTTGTCGAGGGAGGTGAACATGAAATAGCTGTAGATTGAAAATGCAAAAAATAACAGCACTGAAAAATTTTAAACTTACTGCAAGAAACACGAAATTCCAAGATCACAAAGACAGCTAACATGAGTAAGGCTGGTTGCCAAGACAAAGATGTGCGACGTGCCCAAGCCATGATGCATAGATCCAACACTTATTTTTTTATCTTTTCCATAGTAATTTTCAATATCAAAGATATAGTATGCACTTACACTAACAAATAATAAATAACACTAATATTTATATATTGTATACTATTATACGATCCAAATCATTTTCAATATTGTTCCTGCTCTTACTTGTCATCTGGGAGTTTCTGCGATCTTTTGGAAAGCACCAAAAATATTCCAGTTTAATTGTTCATGCCCAACGTGCAAATAACTGAAACTGCAAATGGCAAATTCGACAATATGAAGGGGTGACTATAGTAATTTAATGATTGTGTCAATATGGGGTGCAGCCCTCAAGAACTTCATTTGTGACGAAACAATTACAGACTCAAGCCCTCAATCCTGCCTTCTCACCCCTGAGCAAAATATGTAATAGCTGAATGAGAAGGTGGGTCCATCTGAATGAATGGGGCCCTTTCCCAAAGCTGACCTCTTTGGGGTGGTCTCCTTGAAGCCTGAACTTGCGTGGCGTCTTGCTTCGGGCATACTTGCACCCATTGAAATACATGCTCCAGGAGCACCCGAAGGAGAAGGAGGCACCACAGGTTTCGAGGTCCTTCCCCTGGCATGCGCAGGTGCGGCTGTGAGTGGGACGGGAGGCACGGAGGGGCAGTTAGCATACTGCGATCTGGAGGCCCCTGAGCCCTTGGCCAAGTGGCCACAAGCCACACACTCACTCTTCATTGAGGCCACAGCGGCGGCTCGTAGGGTTGCCGAACTTGGTGAGCGTTTCGGTGACCTCTCGGTACAGGTGGTCCCCGAGGGCGCGCGGCACGCCCTCCCAGATCAGGATGACCACGATGATGACGGCGTTCTCACAGTGGTGTCCCACCCGCTGCTTCACCAGGCACAGGACCTTCTCAGCCTCACAACTGCGCCGGATCACCTAGCCGGGAGGTGCACAGGTAAGTCAGGGGTGGAGGGGGGTAAACCTTAGCCCATCGGCAGGGAGGTACTTCTGGAATGACTTCATGAAGAGTTATCTGTGTTTAAATGATGGCAGTTTCCACAGAGATCTCGCTCCTACTCAACCCGAGTGTCAGTGACAAAGTATTTATTTTACGTGATCATCCAAATTTCCATCCCAACATGGAGTCGCAGCAAGTCTTGTTTGCAGCTAGGAAGCAGGGCTGCCTCATCTATTGTTTCTTGTTTAGCAGAAGAGATTTCAGCACAGTACTCTGTTTTTCAATTCTCAGAACACAAATCTTTTTTTTTTTTTACTTTACTGCACCTTTTGTCTCATGGACCTGTTAAATTGAGTTAAATTGACTGTGTTTGCAAACAAACACTTGTTGCCAACTTTCATGCATCTGGCATGACACTCATGCTTTCAGACTCTCACGCTCATGTAAGAAATCGTACAGCAAATCTATATTATTTCATTATAACCTTAAAATTAGCTACATCAAAAGCGTAAGAGTAGTTTGCAAACCCTAGACTATTTACTATGCTCTTACAAGGTAATAAAACTTACATGTAAATGGATGTGATGTCTGTACAGAAATGTCTTGAATTGAAAATCTCAGTCCAGCCAACTTACCAAAGTTGGCAACCCTGGACTTCAGCAAACATTTGGACCTGCATGTTTCAGCACACAGCTACAATAGGAGCAGTGCATTGTGGGAAAGCCCCTGTGCCAATCAGAATTTTAAAGCTGGTGTGTGTTTAAATGAAGCAACTCGTCAGGACTACCAATAAAGCTGCTCATCTGACACAATTGACATCAGTCGGTCTCTCCAGCCAACGGGACTGTTGATTAACAAGGCCCCATAAATCATGGCAGTCTTGACCCATCAGGGTAGCTGCGAATTAGTGTGGCTCCCTGCAGCTTAAGTGTGACAGACAGGGGAACTCGCACCCTGCCGATCCACACCACGTGTCACCCTGTCACAGCTTTCCCCTTTGTAAATCCTGCCCTCGTTAGCTCCCCAGAGCCCCTAGACTGACAGGTGACGCTGTAGACATACATCTTTCGCTTTCTCACAGTCCATTCCCTTTCCCTCCGTGTTTTGCTCATTCCAAAATGCCAAGGTATCCACCACACATAGCAATGGGTACATACACAGATTTTTTAGGAAATATACTCATAGATTTATCAAGTAAAAAGAATCTCCCGTTGTCGAGCTTCTTGGAGACTAGGCTACTTTTCATCTTTACTGTCCAGCAAATGACAAACTGGGGAACATTCCAGTGTCATAAGGAAGGAAACAATGAAGCAGGAAGACTTGTGAGCCTCTGTGAAGCCCATGCTGTCATGAAGCCTGGTGGTTTCCTGAGATCCTCCCACTGAGACTTACCCACTTAGCAATGGGGCATCCCTGAGAACTCTTTCCCTCCTTGCCTGTGTAGACCACCTTTTCAATGCGTATGGCCTCACCCTTCTCTCCAAACCTGCATATATACAATACACATACAAATTCAGAAACACGAATGCATGGTATACATAGCCAACTGATTGGAAACCTGGAGTACCTCTGCCTTGTACCCTGTGCTGCTTGGGATGGGCTCTAAGCCCCCCGTGACCCGACCAGGATAAGTAGATGGAAGAGTGTGTCATTGTGCGATGAAACAAAACAACCGGCACAAACTCTGAGAGGGTGTTGGCAGAGCTATGCTGATATTCACATGGGTGTGAGGAGACCCTGGTCCCAAAGCAGAGGGATGAAATACAACACTGATGAATAATGATGTTAAGGTAGCATTTTGGCTCCCTTATTTATTTTAAGACAAGAAATCTACTGTCATTCCCAAAAGCAGGGAACGCTGGGTCAGATCTAGGTGAGAGACAAGGAATCCTGAGTTGGATATGGGCGAGAGGCAGGGAATCCTGGGTCAGATTGGGGTGAGAGGCAGGAAATGCCGGGTCGGATCGGGTGAGAGGCAGGGAATGTTGGGTTGGATCAGGGTGAGAGGCAGGGAATGCTGGGTTGTTCGTGGTAAGAGGCAGGGAATCCTGGGTCGGATCGGGGTGAGGGGCAGGGAATGCTGGGTCGGATCAGGGTGAGGGGCAGGGAATGCTGGGTCGGATCGGGGTGAGGGGCAGGGAATGCTGGGTCGGATCGGGGTGAGGGGCAGGGAATGCTGGGTCGGATCGGGGTGAGGGGCAGGGAATCCTGGGTTGTATCGGGGTGAGGGGCAGGGTATTCTGGGTCGGATCGGGGTGAGGGGCAGGGAATNATCCTGGGTTGTATCGGGGTGAGGGGCAGGGTATTCTGGGTCGGATCGGGGTGAGGGGCAGGGAATCCTGGGTTGTATCGGGGTGAGGGGCAGGGAATTCTGGGTCGGATTGGGGTGAGGGGCAGGGAATGCTGGGTCAGATTGGGGTGAGGGGCAGGGAATGCTGGGTTGGATCGGGGTGAGAGGTTGGTCACAGGGTGAGTCTCCAGTTGTATGGTGTTATTAACCCCTGTGACATGCTAAAAAACATCCATGGACTCCCCTAGCATCCCCTAGCTTCTCCCTGAGTCATGCTCAAATCACAAGCCCTGAACATCCAGGAGGGTTTTCCAGTCCTCACCCTGTAGGCCATACTGTTTATGTTACCAACTAAAGAAAGTGCCGGATTGAAGAAGTGTTAGTAGCAAGCCACAGTCCAGGATCAGTCAGCTGAGGTGATAAGTACCACTGTGCCGTAACACATTTTAAAGTCACTAATCCCAGCACATGTCTTTGCCCCCCTGTGTGTGGCATGTGATTGAGTAGGAGTTTCCCACTCCCCTTAAAGGAGCAAATGAGAGGAGCTAGACTGAGAAGAAGGCAGCAAGAAGTGATGATCACATGATTGCTACACTGTGTCCTCATCTCCCCCGGCCCACCTCCTGCTCTCTCTCTGCTGACGTTGTTCTCTCTTTCTCCCATACATTGGATTCTGGGTCAGGGTTTCCCCCAGGGGCCCGGGGTGAATGGAGGAGAAGGAGGCAGTGAGACACAGCTGTGCAAGTGGTAGGCAAGAAGAAGCCGGGGAGACTGCAAGGGAAGGATGGGGTCCTCAGGAAGAACTCGCCCTCACTGTCCCAGCTTCCCCTTACATCTCCGCCAGCAGTGTGGGGGCTCCTGCTGCTTAGGCCTCTCTCATAGGGCAGTTACTTGACCAAGGGATCTCCTCACACCACAGCTATCGGTTGGTTTATCTGGAAAGCCAAGCACTGCTCATCATACATCTACATGGTGACTCTCACCTGTTTTCCATGAGTTCTCTAATGGAGGCCACTGTGGGCCCCGCGCCCAAGTGGTTGTAATATGGGCCGTCATCCTTCTCATGGAACTGCTCTGTGAGAGAGAGAAGAAAAAAGTATGCGTCAAATTTCTGCCTCCACAACCTTGAGCTCCACGCCTCTGTCTAGCTGTCCCTCCCAGTAGACTGGGGGACGTGCCTCTGGCTAGTCCCCTGCTGAGCCAATAGCAGTGAGTTTTGAAGCTGGGAGGTTAGGAGGGAACACCTAGGCGGAGCACATGTCAGTTTGGAAACAGAGAAGCCTTCACTGACAGAGTCAGCCTCACACCAAACAGTGCGTGTTTATTTGTGAGCTCTACGGTGGGAAAGGGAGGGTAGCAGGCAAGACAGAGTGTGTGAGGCTGAGCGCGTGTGTGTGCGTGCTTGGCCCAGGAGGGGATTTAAGGTCACATTCCACTGGGAGCAGAAGGAGGGAGAGAGAGAGAAGGGCGTGGCTGAAACCAGGAAATTATCCACAGGAGTGTTGATCCTTTGACTGCACTTGTGTGTGTGTGTGTGTGTGTGTGTGGATTAGGTTTATATTACATTGCGAGGACCAAATGTCCTCCACTAAGTGACAAAAACTTGTTATTTTGACGTTTTTCAGGTCCCCACAAAGATCTTTGAATGAAATTAAAAAACTAAAAATGGGTTAGGGCTGGGTAGGGGTTAAGGTTATCATAGTTGGGATTAGAGTTTTCCCTAAAGAAATTAATGGAGAGTCCCCACAAAGATATAATTACAAACCTGTGTGTGTGTGTGTGTGTGTGTGTGTGTGTGTGCGCGCCTGCGGGTGCTCCTGACAAAGCGACTAGAGAGGGTGCTCAAGTGAGGGTGTCGGGTTACACCAGCCATTTTTCACTCTGTGTGCCCCACGGTGTGTTGCCGGGAAACACACTGGTGACCTCTGGCCTAATAGTAACCTTTGCTCTCCCAGCTACTGTGTAGATACAAGGTATTTACAGCAAATAATACATAACTACTCAAAATTATGGAAACATAGATGATATAATTTTGCCGCTGGAATACCATTTAGGGGGATATCTTTGTCTGAGCAACAATCAGTTATTACCCAGAAGAGGAAAATGAGGTGTTATGAAGACAGCAGGTGTTAGGAGTTTAGGAGAACCAAACCCTATGTAACAGATCAATATGAAAATCAGACAGATGTTCTCAGCATGCCGTGTGGCTGAATGGTGACAGTGCTGTGGTGGAAATCCTTTGTTGGCTGCCATTTCAAGTCCAGTCTTCACACCTCTCCATACTCATCTGTATTTCTCTCTGAAAGGCTACAATCCACCTGTCTCCTGGCATGTCCGCAGGCTTTCAATGTCACGCAGGACAAAATGAAACAAATGAATCCTGTTCTTCTGTTATTCTCTTTTTAAGTCTTCTCTCATCCAGACTTGAGAGAAAATGAGGGGTACACCCACCCATCAGCATTTTAGTGACACCAAGGGGTGAAGCAAGCCGGATATAAGGTGTCTACCTCTGGGAAGCAGAATGCTGGGAAGGACACTGCTTACCAAAAGCTCCGATTCTTGGAGTATACCATGAGAGAATACAAGGCTCCTGATCTCTTTGGGTCTGGCTAGCGTGCAGAACCCCCATCCCGTCAGTGATGGATGAGCCAGGTCGCTCTGAAGTACAGTCATCCTGCTAGGTCATCATCTGCAACAGTGCCCTCCCCCCGCCCCATTGTCCAGCCCCCTTTCCCCTCCTCCTGCTAGCATTCTCAGACGCACACAGATGGTACCCAGACAATGGCGCTGAAGCTGAAGACATTGGGTATAATCAGGGTCATCACGTGGGGGACAGAAGTGGAGGAAAAAGATCATTCTAACTCCACATAAGATCCTGGGTGGGCACAGAAACAGCTAAAAGTCTCATAACCACATGGAATCTTTGTGTTAAAAGGATGGTCTGGAGTACTGCTGAGCCTCTTTCATGAATGGATAAATAGTATGTCTGTCTACCAGGACCTAAGAAAGACCAGCAGTGAAATGTCCTGCTGATGACCAAAGCTAGTGTTCGCCATGGGCGATGCGGTTCATTTTACGTAGGGCAGCATTAGACCTTTCTTTGTATCCCCCCAGCCATCAGGGTTTCCTATTTGACAATGTGAACCCTCAGATTAAATAATGGGGTAGACAGCAATCAGGACCGAGTGTGTGTTTTGCAGTCTCGGGACCAAGCACTCACCTACACAATCGCAGAGAGGGAATTCGGCCTGAGCATCCTTAGCGGGGGTGTCCAGCAGGCTCTTAGTGGGTGTGTCTAGGTAGCGCAGGGGAGACTCCAGGAAGCCACGCAGTGAGGGAGAAGAAGGGGGGATGAGCTTTGTGGGTGTTTCGGTGTCATTTGATGCGGTAGAGAGGCAGGTGGTGGTTGATAGCACCGTGATGTCCCCTGATGACTCGATCTTCATGCGCTTTGGCAGCGGAGAGAAGGGAACGGTGAAGGGATCTTCCAGGACACGATGCTGCTGCTGCTGCAGTTGCAGAAGGGGGTCAGGGGCTGAGGCCGGTGCCTGGGATGAGGGGCACACCCCCTGTGAGGCATCTCCATTGCATTGCTGCTCCATCCCATTGCCCGCTGATGTCTGGGGGGGTTCTGCTTGGACTGCGCTCCCATTTTCCTCTATGCCCCCTATGTCCATTGTCTCACCTTCTGGTAGGGGGACACCTGTGGCGGCCAGGGGACCACCAGCAGGGACTGCGGGCTGTGCTGGGAGATCAGACGAAGCAGGTGCAGGGGGGACGGCTTGTCCTGAGTTAGAATTTGGCTGAGCTGGGTTCGGTTCTGGGGTCTGGCTCTGGGTACCGGGCAAAGGGGCGTCTTCAAACTCAGCCTCAAACTGGCGTATCAGCTCCTCCAATTTTGGGTTTAGGGCACCAAGCTGACTGAGTGAGGGGGCTGGCTGGGGTGTGGAGGGCAGGCTTGTGGTGCCAGGGATCAAATTGCTGTCTCCTGACACTGGAGGTCCTGAGACAGCCTGGTCACCCTGCGGCAGTGAGGCTGCGGAGGAGGCTAGCAGGGTAGGACCGCTTTCAGCATCACCCTGGTGAGCTGGTTCAGCCAGGGCGCTGTTCAGAACAGATTCCTGAGGGTGGGCTGGGGTCTGAGCTGGAAGGGGCCCCGGTTCTGTGGCTAACAATGCTGGGACAAGGTTGGCCATGGCCGGAAGGGGAAGAATATTCTCGTGACGGCTCGGTGGTGGTTTCTGAAAGGAGATCTGGGCCTGTGGCAAGAAGGTAGGCTGCGAGGCCTTCTGTTTGGGCTTCTTGATTACTATCTGCTTCGGTTTGGGTAGGGTCGGACCCAGCTGAGGCAGGAGGCCGGCCGCCAGCGGCTGCTTGAGGGACGGAGACGAGTAGCTCTTCTTCTTCTTAGGCTCCTTGGGCTCCTGCTTGATGGGTACAGAGCCCTCATTTGGCCACCACTTGCGCAGGTCCTGGCAGCCTGGGAAGGGTGGGTGGTGGGTAGCGGCAGAGGTGCTAGAGAAAAGGTTCCGCTTGTGGTGCAGGTACTGCTGCAGGGATGCCTGAGTCAAGTGGCGCACAGTCGCGCTCCCAGGGGACAGTGGCCGGCCATTTGCCACAGCCCCGTACCTCTCCATTGCAGCACAGTTAGAGCCTGGGTACTCTCCGGAGTCCATCTCCTGCTTGATCTGGAGCCCCCCCAGGCCTGGGGGGCCATGATGTAAGAGGTGCTGGGGGGCAGGGGACCTGAATGCGGGGTTTGCGTACTTGCCACTGGTGTCTCCCAGCAGTTGCTTCAACTCTGACATGGGATCTCCACCATTGCGGGGAGGAGGTGTGAAGCGAGGCTGGGACTCAGCAATCAGTGTCATGTGGGGCTTCCTAGGGCCCGTCTGCCACTGCGGCGGAAGGGGGCCGCCTGGCGTGGAGGTGGGTCCGGGGAAGGGCGACACAGCATGTGGGTGAGGGGAGGAGTGGAGCGCTGGGCCGGGCATTGAGGTCACGAGCATGTTGGTTTTGGGGTCCTCAGTCTGAACCTGCCTCCTGTGCTCCCAGGAGAATGAGTCCAGCTGTGGGTGAATTCCAGGCGGGACGGATTGCGGCCTGGGTGACGTGGAGGACAGGACCAGGTGGGTACTGTGCTGTGAGTGGGGTGGAAGGTGATGTGGAACTTGATGGTGGTTTGTGGATGAAGCATCCGCAGGGGGCACCATGGGCTGAGGGACGGTGGCCGACAGCTGGGTCAGGGCCTCAATGGCAATGGCTGTCTGCAGGCTGATGTTTTTTTCCTTGGCAATGGAAAGAACACTGGGTGAGCAAGGGATGGGAGCCAGGGAGCAGGGCATGGGGGAGTTGAGAGAGGTGTGGGAAGGGGTAGAGGAGGTGACAGGGGGTGTGGCTCTGTTTAGCTGAAGGGCGAGGTGGGCTGCTTGCTCCTGCTGGCTCTGGTGGAGCACACCGGATGCCCCATACTGCTTTTTCTCCTGGTCATCCACCACCATCTGGATCTTCTTCTCCAGCCACTCCATGTAGTCCGGACAGTCAGGTCCTTCGCAGTTGCAGTTTGGCGGCTTGTTGCCGTGGCGTGCCTGGCTCAGTGCTATTTGCAGAGTGCTCAAGTCCTCGGGGGGACCCCGGTCCCTTCCTGCTGCCATCCCAGACGGCTGGGTCTCCACTGCCTGGCCTCCCATCTCCTGCTTGAACTTCTCATACAGCTGAGCTGTGTGGACCTGCTGCTCGGGGTGGCTGCAGGGAGACGATGTGCCCATGCTGGCTGCGAGGGCCACCAGGCTCCTGGCATTCTCCATATCTCTTTCTTCTGCAGCCCCACGTACCTCCCCGTCGCCCCAGCAGGGCATCTGCAGCTGCTCCTGCTGGAAATGATCAGTCTTGTCTTGCCCAGGGCCCCAGATTTGCCCCAGTAGCTCACACGCTGCCCTCTTCTGCCCCTCTCCAGCTGCTCCAGCACCTAGCCCGCCTGCCTCCTCTTCCACACAGCGCCTGCTTTCCCCATTTGTTAGCCCCAGGCTCAACAAGCCTTCTTGCAGGTGGTCATGTGACCCAGCTTCCATCTGGCCTCTTCTTCTGGGGCCATCCACTGAAGCCAACCCTGAAACAGTCTGCAGGACAAACAAATAAAAAAGGCATCAGTTCTATGCATTCCGTGGGACAAGCGGCACCCATCAGTCATTGGTGCACTCACTGCAATGCAGGTTAGGCATCTGCTTGTTCACTGTAACAGGGGTACAGATATACCATTAATGTGTGACAGTCCTCATAAACAGCAACCAGTAATGCGCAGATGGCACAATTCCCTTTATTCACACTGGCTTCATGGTACAACATGCAGATCTCCTCAGTGGAACATAATGCAGAGAGCTGGTATTACAGGAGTCATTTAAATGAATTCATTGTTCACAGCTGTGAGACTGGACTCCATTCCATAAAGCTAATCTGCTCCATATTTTCCAGCTCTCCATGACTCCTACAGTCACCATTTCCCTTTTAATGACCCGCTGTTCTGTGCTCTCTGCCTTAGACTCGCACTAATACATTTGCATGTGCTTACTGTACATTACCAAGGCGACTTATACACAGATCAGCTTTTATTACACGCAGAGGCACACAGATTGGGATATGGGGGACTATACACAGTGTATGAATCCTTGAGACCATTGTCCCTGTCTAAACTCAGATGCAAATTCCACTGAAGGTTTTCTGTTGCAAAGAAAAGGTGTCTGAAATTTGAAAGGCAAAGCAGTGTTTCCTGCAAACCCTAACCCTCCCCAACTCCCCACTGTTATTCCAGCAGGTGGAGGTGAATACCGCCCAGTGCCATTCAAGCTGCCCTGAAATCAAAAGGCCTTTCTGGCTCCTTATGCATATCCCGGCCATTTGTTACCATCACATGATTAGCGTTTTAAAGGAATTGGCGGGATCTCCACAAATAGACCATGTTTAGCCACTGACCATGTTTAGCCACTGACCATACTTCAGTGTTGATAGTACCGGACATATGGATGACGCGAGATATTACATGTTAATAGGTAAGAAGCAGAAAAAGACTGCTCACCTGTCCCATAAGGCACTTCCATGCTCACTAAATTGTTCAATTGCATCAGCCATGGGAGTGTTGTTCACAGAGAGGAACATGTGTACAAAAAGAAGAACTCAAGTTTGCTCCACTATGAGCCATGGAGCCGTGTTTGCTGCGATACTTCACTACACAAAGCAGAACTAACCAAACACCCATTTATAAATGGGTCCGAGCTAGAAACCCGATGGAAGAGGGAAGTGTGCTGGTCTGGCTGTCTCGGCACACATCAGAGGAGTAGCACAGTTTGCAAGCCGGAATTCGAAAGCTCTTCCCGTTATTGTATTTGACACTGTGTGAAATTCGACGAGGTGCATTTGCTTTCGTGAAACAGGCGGAAGGGCTCTATGACAGTGAGAGCAAACACTGGGGCTCCTGCACACAGGACACATTCTTCGTTTATGATATGAAAGGCAGCTGATCTGAAGACCATTTCATTCCAGACTGTACTAAGTCGGGGAAAGAAGAAGCAAATACTGTTTAGAAACCCGTCCACATGTGAGAGCCTAACTGACACACTCTACAGTGAACTGACGCTGCTCATACCATAAAAGAATATCTTTCAATTGTTCTTCCTCATATTCAGTGTAAATGTAATTTTGACAATGTTTCTGTTTCTACATCAGTCACTGAGGAGCCTCCTCTGGATGGTTAACCAACCAATCAGTTAGTGTATATTGTCAGAATTTACCCCATAAATGAGAGCAGTTGGTTTGCAGGTATGTAAAATGTTGAAAACTGAACTGTTACTCAACCACCTGATTGCATTAACCACCGGCTTGCGTGATGCATTCCTAAATGCACCCATTTATGACACTTCCTGTATGCCATGTGGAATAACAGAAAGCCACCGGACCAAAGTATTTGGGCTGAAAATGGAATTCACCATTAGACTCGGAGGAATGGGCATGTTTGGATGAGGATGAATGGCGATAGAACATGTGACCAGCTTGAAAGGGGAGGTGCCCCCCCGGGAGACGCGGGACTCAGCACTTCATGCAAATCATCCTGCTTTGTAGGTAACCGACAGGCAAGATCAAGATCAAAAGTCTCTGGATAGCAGCCTCAGCTGTGTACCAATTAAAACGCACCAACATCTATCCGGAGAGCTTCTTTCAGATTAACCACAATTCCATGACCTGGGCATGACATAACGGCTGGTTCCTATACCTTTGCAAAAGTATCAGATACATACATGACTGTCTGTAAGCCAACAATGAAAAAAGAAGTTGTATATCTTTCTTTTTAACCAATTATTAACCCAGCAACTACCAGCAGTGACCCCCAAGGTGCACTCAGAATTTACTAATTTAGTCTCAACATTCCTGACTGCTGGACCATGAGTTCTTGCATTTATTAACAAAAAAACAACATCTATCAGCATGCATGTGACCCAACCTGAGTGGCCCTCGGTATAATATATGGCATGTTCAGTTTTGGCTCTCAGGAAACCAAAGTCAAACACAAACCACATACAGGTGTATAAAGGCAGCTTTTACAAACAACTGCTGAAACCCAGTGACCTTTTGTAAGCCTGATCACAGATAACAGCCCGTAAGGCAAAGAGCCACACTCTGTCACTAATTATTGGTTAAATAACTAACTGTACACAGAGTCTTCCCCTCTCAGCCCCTGAGTCACAGAAAATGACCTTTTCAGATGTATCACTGTTGGATGGACTACTTGGTCTGAGTCCACTTCTTGTGTGTGCTATCTGTTCTCCCAGGGAAGCCCATGTCCCCGATCAGCCTGGACATCAGTGCTAGGGGAGCCCCTTCCCCGTCTGACCCTATTCACGCTGGCCAAGGGGTGGAGGCAGCTTTGGGGCCAGGGGGCTTTAAAATCACGGTTTGCTTCCTCTTTCCTGAAACAGTCCGTAAAACCGGCACAGCAATGCAGTCGCTTGTTCACACACGCGTCCACAGCCATGCAGGAGCAGTAGAACCGGAATACGGCCACAGATAACAGACGCAGCTGACCCCCACCCCCAACTGTGTCAAAACAGGACAACGACGCAGCTGGGACACGCTCATACCCACGCGCGCATGCCACAACAGCCCTGAGTGAGGGAAGCACGTGCTCCAGGCAGCCAAACAGACAGCAGCTAACTGCACGTACGCCAACACGCCAAACCGGACTGGTCTGTCAAACCTGCCTTCCTGCCCCAGTCCCTTTAAATGCGGCGCGCAAAAACAGGCTCACACTGCGGCCAGCGGTGTCCCCACCTCTGCCGGGGGGACTCAGACAAACGCTTCTCAAGGTTGACAAGACAAAGCAAAAGCAGAAAAAAGAGGAAGGGTGAGAGTTGGAGGGGGCCGCAGGAAGCCTGGAAGTAGACAGCTGAACACAAATCCACACGGCTGGACACACGACACCCCC